CTATCAACATAGTCTTGAAGAGGGTGTGGGTGTGGGTGAAAAGAAGATAACACCCACACCCTACATATTTTGATAATGGTTAGTCAAATTTTACATTAACAACTACGTTCACATTCAATTAATAATATTTCCTTTCATAGAAAAGTTGTGTATGGATGAGTGAGTTGTGGAAGATGTTGATCTCAACCTCTATCATCTTGAATCCAAACACGAGTCAAATCAAATGGAAATTTTCAGTTTCGAGCCGGTTATGTACACGTTCGAGAATAATCCGACGAGCTCTTAGGATGAACATCTTGTCTTTAGATGACAACTCAAATATGACCATATCAACTTTCGATAAGTCTTATAGCGCAAGCATTTACAGATTGTCTTCTTTCTCTCTATTATCATTGAGAGCAAGCTTTGAGAGCAATCAAGGTAGGCTATAAATGATTCGAATAATGAATAATTAGTTCCACTCATATTTTCGTTATAACAAACAATTTTAAAAAAAATATTGAAAAATTGAGCTATAATGTTCGAATCTCGACAAACACGCTGATTTTCAGTATATGCAATTAAAATCGAATAACAAGTAACAAGAGATTAACCCCGGTTAACACGTATCATTGAATCGGAACAGATAATTATTATGTTAGAAAAGACAGAAAAAACTTCTGTTTAATGAATGTTTTCGATTTTCTTTTTACGTAAGAAAAGTCTCTAATTTGTTTTATTTCATCTTTGTTTAGAGACCAATACAACAGTATAACAAATTGATTGAAATCTAGTTGAAGCAAATATACGGAGGCTTTCATAGTGACACAAAATCCAAGTTATAATCGATTATGATCATAGGATTTTTGAAATTTTAATTCCTAAAATTGTTTACTCAGTAGCTGTGGAAAATGATCAAAGGTGACACCTGACAACTACATATTGAAGTTTGTCGAATTTTCTGAGATATCCGCCAGGATTCAACTGTATGATGTTTCCTCCTGGGTATGTATTGAAATACAGAAAATGCAATGCTTGTAATTTCCTTTTGTACATTTGACAGAACTCCAATAAGGAATACTTAATACTAGATGTAAGTAGATAAGTTTACTTCCGATTTTTTTTTACTTAATTTCATGAAATTTAAACAGTGAATTCAGACATATATTGAAAATCTTCATTTTCGAAAAGAACATATTTTCTTTTTGACTAGATTTTATATTTATTTCAATGTTAATAACTGTTTCACTGGTACACGTCTACAAAAAAAAAGCTTATCTTAGATATATTTATATAAATTAAATATGATAAAAAAAAATAAATAAACAGGAATATTTGTTTAGTGGACAGATAATAGAAATAAAATGGAACGTCTATGAATGAATATTATTACTGCATGAATGACATTCATCTAAAATATTACTATTTGTATGTCGAAATCAATTTATTGTCATCGATGGATGTTTATGACAAGTTATATGACGATGATGATTATTAGACTAGAAAAATAAAAACAAGAATAAAAATATTTTCATTAGATTTTTTTTCTATAATGATTACATACATAAATAGAACGTCCTTCTTCAGTAGAATAGATTGTATTTGGTAACTAATCTTTATGAACATATCTTGGATGTGTATGATAATGAGATGAATATTTTAAATCATTTTCTTCATCATTAATTATTGATGAGCCTGTTAATGTTACACCTTCATCAATATTGTCATCGTCTAGAATTTCATAAAAAGATTTTAAGTAAAAATCATCTATATATATATATAATGTTCAGTGTCTGTTTCTCTGTACCAGGTTAAAGGTCGAATATGGCTATAAGGAGAAGTCCCAAGGGCCACTTATGGGGGACTCAAAAGTCCTCAAGGGCCGTTCTATGGGGGTACCGATAGATCGCCAAAAGCTATCCTATGAGGGAACCCACAGGTCCTCAAGAGCTATCCTGTGGAGATACCTATAGGCCCTCAAGGATTATCGTATGGAGTTACTCATAGGCCTTGAAGGGAGTAAGGCAATAAGGTGATATGGTAATAAGGGGGAAGGCAATAAAGATATAAGGCTACAAGAGCTACAAGGAATTTCCTCGTAAATTTTACGCCGAAAAAACATCCTTAATTTCTGGAAAAAAGTTTTGAAAAATTTTTGACCTTCTATTAGGCCTTGTGAAATTTTCCATGTAGGAAGGTATTATAATATTCTGTAAATCTAAGAATTGAAAACGTAAGAATTAGAGTTCCTACAATATATTTTACAAATGAATTAGAACTATTAAAACATACTTCTTTGTTTGTAATAGTCTCGTTGTTGGTTTTCATTAGTTATTGTATCATATTCATGTCTATCTTTAAATAATACAGACATAGCTTCCATATTTAAAGCACAAATACCACGCATAAAAGATTTTTTAAGTGTTTCATCATGTATATTTCGATTAAGTTTTAATTGAGTTATTTCTTCATTTGCATTTAATAATTGTAATTCTAATTGTTTATATTTTATTTCATATCGATTAATTAATTCATTAAGAATAATTTTTGATTTTTTTTTATATATTAATTCAAAATGTTTTTTCCATTCTCGTTCAATCAGTTGTTTCCAATTGTTTAATACTTTCTAATAAAAGAATAGTATGAAAATTAATATAAACAAATAAAAAAAAAATAATAATTCATACTTTTTTAATTTTTTTTTCATAAAAATCTTTTGCTAATAATAATGAATATTTTTGTTGTCGTTTTTCAATATAAATTATACGCCATTCATAATAATGATGATATAAAATAGTTTTATTATAAAGTACATTTAATGATTTATGAAGATTTGTTTCTGTTTGTTCTTTTTGATCAATAATATTTTTATAATGTATTAATATTTCACACATAATTTTAATATCTTGATTCAAACAGATATATTCTTTTGCTTGACTAAAATAAAATCGAATATTTCTTTTTTTTTTTTGTTATCGAAATATTTATTTTAATTTACATTTCTTTTTCATGTAGAATATTTTGTTGAACTTCTTCTAGAAATCGTAAACGTAATTTATCAAATTCATTCTTCAAAACAAAGAAATTTCTTTAGATAAAAATAAAAAAAGAACAATAGAAGTTTTTTTTTTTACCATAAGATTTTTTTTCATATCTAAATACCAATGATCTAGTTTTTCAGTTATTAATTTTGTTTCTATATCAAATGTTACTAATTTTGAACAATCGAGAATACATTCTTCTTTCAGCATTAGTTGTTCTTGATTTTCTATGGTTAAATAAATCAATAGAAATATTATAATTCGGATTTTCTTAATTCGAAGAGAAAAAATGTTCGTATAATAAAAATCAACGAAAATTGATACAGTAAGATGATTAATTTAGATACTTCAATTTAAAAAGAAATTAACCCAACATGTTTGTATTGATTTGAATCTCGTTGAAATTCGATTAAAGACTAACAAGAATCAATAATAGTTTAGAGTGAACAAGAATTCTTAATAAATTTTAGCAGAGCCACATCAGTAGAACATGAACAGTTTTTTTTGAATTTTCATAGTTATCGAAAAAGATTGCCTTATTTTCGTTATTGATACTTTGAAGTATTCGATATAACTGATCAGAATGAATTTGATTATAAACCTAAGAAAACTTAGATAATCAATTATGTTTCACTAATAGGGTTTTTGTTTTCTCTGCATAATAAATCCTCTCCTTATTCTATAATACAGCCATATTCTTTTTTTATCCAGTCTAAAAAATGTTTGCAATTAGAATTTGACTAACTAATCCTTTTCTCTAGCATGTTCAATATCCTACTTTAAAAAAAGCTATCCTGGAACAGAAGCGTAACCATGAAAAAATTGCAGCAAGGAGCAGCCACCTTCCATATCACTAGAAACAATGAAGGACTTCTCATAGTGCTTGTAAAAAGTGTTTCAAATCCTGTGTAAACAAAATTCAACCGTTGAACGAGAAAGCTAACGAGGGAGCATTCTCAACTGTCACATCGCTTTTAAGTCCAGCATATGCGCATTATGTAGATCCTAACGATCTATGAATCCTCTGAAAAAAGTTCATGCCGCTAGCTTATTATTGCTGAGACACTGCCTTTTTACTGTATGTTTAAGAAAAGAGAGCTGTGGTCCCCCTCAGGAACACTTGAAAAACTGAATTTTGAATTTCAATTTCAAACATTGCATAGATATAGGGCTCAATGAAAATCTGAGATGGGCAGCTCCGACTCCGGAGCGGAGCGCTTCCTAAATAAAATGGAGCTGGAGCGGAGTCGGAGCGACATTTTATTTATAGCTCCAATGATAAGCTCAGTTTTCGATTTATTGTTCTATTCAAAATGACGGAAGAATTAATGAGAGAAAGCTCGTCATCGGCGAATTATCGAAATGGATAGCCCATTGTGACATTTTAGTCAATGGCAATCTCTGAAACAATGACTGACCGTTTATATACAGTCTTCTTCTTTGTCTAATTGAACTAAGCTATTGTTACTTTGGAAATGGAAGAAAATGACGTCGAGAAAGAGAGAAATTGCATAATATAAAATGTGAAAGGAGAATAGTGCCGAATCAGAATAACATTTCTCAGTCACTTCAACGAACACGACTATCATGGCAAAAAAATGCGCGACCATGATATCGATGAATCATCTTCCGTTACTATTGTCGACAATAACGATTCAGTATCATCATATAATAAAAAAAAGCGAGTACCGTTCTTGAAAAGTAAACGTTCTTCATCTTATATTATAACTAAGTTAAACATATTGTTAATCAATGTGTTCTTTTTTTGTACTTTATATATATGCTTCTATATTTAGACTAACACGAGAAATTCACTGAACACAGCTAATCATTACGCATAATTAAAAAGATTTGTTGCAGGAGCGGAGTCGAAACGGAGTCGGAGCGGATTTTTTTAATTAAGGGTAGAGCTTGAGCTGAGCGGGAGCGGATACTTTCGGCGAGGAGCGGAGTCGGCAGAATATGTCTTAATCTTGAGCGGAGTCGGAGAGGAGCGGTCTGTTATTGGCTGGAGCTGGAGATAGAAAGGGTCGGAGCTACCCATCTCTGATGAAAATACTTTATTGTGAAAGTTTCAGCTTTTTTCGTTGTATCTATCCTAAGATACAATTATCATAAAATTGCTCATATACCCCGGTGGATTCGATGTTGTTATCTCAGACTAGGAGAAACCAAAAAATCTGAAACATTCACAATAAACTGTTCTCATTGAGGCCTATACACATGCAAAGTTTCAGGCTGAAACTCAAAACTCACTTTTCCTGATGTTCCTGAGGGGAACCACGGCTTTTTCCGAAACCTATAGAAAAAATGCTATATCTCAGCAGTAAGAAGCTAGCGGCACGAACTTTTTTGGGAGGATTCATAGATCATTAGGACCTACATAATCCCCATACAGCCGACTCAAAAGCAATGTGACACTTGGGAATGTTCCATCGTAAGTTCCTACTCTCTAGTGTGTCAATCCCATGAAATTTATTTAGTTCTCACCATTATCAGACATTGTCATATCAGTATAATGTGTTTCTAGACTACTTAAATCAATAAGATCAATGACAAGTTGATCTAAAACAAAAGAAAAAAAACAAATATCCAAGTCAAATAAAAACAATTTCTTTTATTCTTAGATCTAATTATAATTTGATTACTTGAAAAATTCTTAGTAGAAAAAAATATCTCATCGTAATTTATCATTCATATTCATTCTGAATAAAAAAAAAAGAACACTTAAAATTATCTAGTTCAATTAATCTCTATTTGAGATGATATAAAAAGTTTCAATAGATCAAAATTAATTGACATCATCTGAGACAATAAACACAAATATCAAGTTTTGTTTTTTGTTTTTATTTTAATCTTCTAACAAATTAGACCAAAAAAAAAAAGGAAGACAACAAAAATTAAGGTTCATCAGGTGGTGGTGGTTGATCTTTTTGTGTATCATATGAATGTAATGCATGTAAAAGTTTTTTTTCTATTTTATTTAATGCTCGAATTGTTAATACTAATGTTGTATGTTTTAATATACTGTAAACATTCAAACCTACAAAAAAAAACTAAATACAATCAAAAAATCTTAATTAAAAACATAATATTTACCATAAACAGGCATCAATGTAAATCCTTCAGTTTTAGCAGTTGCAAACATAATATTATGTGGCATAATATCCGTACTATAATTAAAAATTAATTAATTAATTATTTATTTATTTAATAACATACTCATCAACAAAAAGAATTGATGGTCCCCAAAAACGATCTTCAACTAATTCTTGAAGGTACTATTAAAAAAAAAAAAGAAAACTATTAGCATCATTCCTATGATAGAATACGATTTAATTATTGTCATTAATCCAAAAGAGAGATTTTTTTTATCTATTTCGAAATTTAATCATATATCAAAAAAAAATAAAAATATTCATACTGTTGGTTGATGAGTTGGTAAATCAAATGAATCAACAAAATGAACATCATTCTATAAGAAAAAGTAAATTGAATTAATAACAAAAAAAAAACTAAATCAATTTATTTTTAATACTTGATGTAATTTAACAGTTAATGCTGTACAAAGACCTTCAATACGTTTTTCTTTTGGAAGAACATAAAAGAATGATGTTGGACCTTTTGGTCCATTAACTTTATAACCACCTTTCCATTGAGGACCAAAACGTGATTTATGTCGTGCTCGACCAGTTCCTTTTTGTGGCCAAGGTTTTGATCTCATATTTGGATATTCATGATGTGGTGGTGTATATGCCCAATCCTTTAATTAAAATAATTATAATTATAAAAAAGAAATTTATTTACAATTTTTTTATAAGTTTTTTGCCATTCAATATTTTCATAGAGAATATCTAATCTATAATTAAAATATTAAATAAAGATATATATATATATAAGAAATAAATACCTTGGTGAAGTTTGCCAAATTATTGGATGTAAATCAATAATACCTAATTTTTCATCAGGTTTTTGTTTTAATGTTTCAAGCCAAACTTGTATTGGTGAATAACGTATATGAGGATATTCAAGTTGTCGATTAACAATTAATGGAAGTTGTTGAGAAGTAGAAGAAGTTGATGATGATTCAGCTTAATATATATATATCATCATCATCATCATTATCATTTTATAACAAAGAATAAAACATACGAGAAAAAGTTGATGATTGTGTAGAACTTTCAAAATATCGAACCGATCGAACAATTGAACAATATCGAAAAATCTATATAATAAAATTAGTCTTTTATAATTTCTTCAAAAAAAAAGAAATTACCTTTGCTAATGATAAAGACTTAATCATTATTAATTTATTATGATAATACTTTTTTTTTTGTAATTATCAAAAATTCACTAATAAATCAATGGAATCTACTAAAAATTATGAGTCATATATAGATTAACCTTCTATTGGTACTCGTCAAGTTGTTTTTTTTTGCGATAGAGGACGTACCAAGTTTAATAAATGAATAGTTTTTTCGTGAAGTTTGTTTCGAAAGTTCTGATTGAGTTTTGAATATAGCGAAAAAAAAAACAAAACATTATAGAATGTCAATTACCAATAAACCAGAATTGACCATAATGATGAAACTAGGTGATTACTGAATCTCTGCTAGAAATGTGAAGTATGTGTCTCTCTATCGGCTTATGCGAAGGACTGAGTTCTTATTTTATACTAAAAGATATGAATATTTTGAAATATAGTAATATAAAATGATGAATGATAAGTTCATCGGCAATTTTACAAAATTTATATGACATATTTTTATTTCTATAATAATCTATCAAATTGAAATATATTAACAAATTTTCTATAGAGATAATTATGTATGACTACAATTCTTTTTTTCTTTTTTTTTATTATTTATAATTAAATATATCGTCGAATGAGCGTCCTTAGGCCATCTTTACCTGACAGTATTAGCAATTCAATAATAAACGAACTAATGCTGTTTGGTAAGATGAAATTCAGCTGCTCTTTTTTAAAAAAAAAAAACTTTCTTCATGACATACTTACATATCTCATTGTCATAGTATTTTGAATGATGAATACTGAAGAAATTTTGTCTATTTATACAAAAGTTAGTATTGACCAACATTCTCTCTCTCTGTCGCGCGAGCGCGCTCGTTGTCTTTTTTTTTTTTTTCGTACGATGATAAAGGGCGTACTCTTCATGAATTATATTGACGAAGGATTATCATTGATGGGCACGAGTTTGTCCGCCCTATCTAACGATTGGATCATTCGTGTTCAATCTTTCGATCCTTTTCCTAATATATACAATAGACAAAGACAAACGGCACGTGTAATTAGTTTGTCAATTAGGTGATGGGTATTAGATATTGACATTTGTTTGTGTGTACATACATATATATACACACGGATGTCGAAGAATATCCTGTTTACAAAGATGTCACATCTTTGTTATATTTACTTGTAAGAATAAGATAATTATTTCTTTCGAAAGTAACAAAAAAAAAAAAGATTCAAGTAAAGATCGCCGTAATTATTTTGTGTATAATTTATTAATTAATTATTCGTTTATTGTTTATATTAGTTATTATTCGATCTCGAATAACAACAATTTCTTTTTTTTGTTTTTATTATTTCTCAATAAAGTTTAAATGTTACTACAGATCGATGATAAACTCATGCTCTATTGTATTCAGCACTAACAATTAGTTAAGAACGGAAAGATAGTCTGTTAAACAAGTAATATACAGGGTGTCCCAAAAGTCCGTTGGAAAAGTTAATTCAAATATCTCTTATACGACTCAAGCAATTTAATCGATTTTTTTATAGTATGTTAGTATGTTCTTTAAAGTTTTGTTCTGTATATTTTTGGATAAATGTCTGTGCCTATAACTATTAGAATTAGAATAGTTCTATTAATGCCCAAATTTGAGTTACCTATCATTGTGAAAGGAAAAATGCAAGTCGAATTTGACATAAAAACGCTACACATGGACTGTGCTATTGCCGCTTTTCAAGGCCTTTGCGAAATGAGTATAGTAGTAAACAGACAACAATTTGAAAGACCTTCAAAAACTACAAAAGAGAAAATCAGCAAAGTTTATGATAATTGTGAAAATGTGCCACTATCAAGTGTTCGGGTTGTTGCAACAGCCTACTTCATTCCATGGACAATATCAGGACGAATTATCACTGAATATCATCTAATGAATCCATATAGAGTGTAATTTCTCCTATCATGTCATAGAGAAGATTCATAAGATCGAGTTGAAATTATATCACTTTGATACGCAAATTACAAAATATCCACAATCAGAAGAGCTCTTTTTTTTCATACAAAGTCTCTTTTCATTTGAATGGTTTATTAACAAATATAAAGTAGAGACCTATATACATAAGATATATATATAAAGATTTGGTTGAATTCAAAATAAGAACCGATAACGAAACGAAATTAGCTCGAAAATAAACTTTCTGCAATTTTTTTTAGAGATTTCAAAAACGATGGATTTAGGTATTATACTTCATGGTAATCATTTTGAATATTTGTTGCAAACTAAATTATGTGAAATAAAACTTTAAAGAACATACTAACACATTATAAAAAAATCAATTAAATTGCTTGAGTTGTATAAGAGATATTTGAATTAACTTTTCCGACGGACTTTTGGGACACCCTGTATATATATCATAATTGAGAAATTTGACCTTTTATAAATGACACGATTTTTTCTTCGGTACTTAAGAAAAGTTTTTTTTTCATTTTGCCTTAAAAAATGATATGCTATTTTCAGATCAAATAAGAAATGTTTTTTTCTTCTATTAAAAATTTCTTTTTTGTTCGTATGATTAAAAAACCTTCTTTTATATTAAAATTTGTTATAGAAGCATCTGAGAAGGCCTATATATATATTCTAGTTTTGAAGAATAATCAAGTGAGTTAGTATGAAAATATTTGCAAAAATTTTGTATTTATTTCATTTTTTTATAATATATTTCGAAATTGCAAAACATCAATATATGATTTGTACCTAATTGTACTAATTAGTAATGAATCTTTTTGGTTGTCAAATTTTTATTCATATTTTGAGAAATTTTTGTATAATCTTTTGCTTGTGTGATTAGATATTAATATCATTAATAGAATAGAATTCATAATCGAATAATTTCAATAACAAATAAATCAAACAGTTCGCAACTCGAAAAACAAAAAAAAAATTGATAATCAAAACTATTTCTTCCATCTTTTTCATCAGTTATTAAAATATTTTTTGTTTTACGATTCATATGAATAGACTAGCAGTCAGTGATTGGTCTCAGTACCGGAATCATTTTGTTCATATCTATTAGTGTTGTTTTGTAAATTCTGAACATGTTGGTATAATTTTGAGTTAGGTCAATTCGATTTTATGGATATATTGTGAATAAAAATCAGTATTTTAAAGAAATTCGATTAATTTCTTAAGATTTAAAACTAAAATCTCTTTGACAATTTTGAAAATATTGATTTGCATCGCATAAAATACTCATATTGATCTTATCTAAGATATATACCTTATTTAATTGATTATTTTTTAACTATAACTATGTTCAATTACATTTTTTTTTTTGTACAAAAAAATCTCTTTACAAAAATTTAACCAATCAATTTGCTATTATTATGATTATCAAAGAAACAATCTAATCAATTAGCAGCTAGTTTTATTTTTTCAATTCAATGATTTATTCTTAATTTATTTATTAAATAAATTTTGCAAAAGATATAATAATAAAAAAAAATGAATCAATTATTAAATTTATTAACCCTTTGAAGGCAAACTTTTTCTTTATAAAAGGAATAAAATCGTAGTGTTAGAATCAGTTCTAACTTGAAACGTATTAACTATCATAATTATTATACTGGTTCTTATTGCAAAGACACAAATAGAGAATTTTGAGATAGAAAAAGAAACAAAACACTCAAAGAATCTACTTGAATAAAGCCAAAGATTTTCAGTTCTATTTGAAATTTTCAAACCATATATATATACGGACTTCGCCCTCAAAGGGTTAATGAATTATAATAAGAATTAAATAATTCAAGTCTATAATTAAAATTTAAGTTTCTTTCTATTTTCAAATTCATATATAATAATCAATTCTTATAATAGATAATTACATAGTTTCTTTTTTTATGATTCATTGTATATATATATAATACATCTAATTTTAGACAACATAGATGAAGAATAATATATGTTATAATCATAATTTGAATGCTTTCAAGTGCAAATTATTTCCTGAAAATATAAATCTAAAACTTGTATTATTCATAAAACAAAATACAATGCATTGATAATCTTAAAAAAAAAAAGATAAATCTAATACATAAATAATCAAACATACTAATAGTTTATCATTATATTTTATATCAATCTATTTATAGAATAAAGTATAACAACATACAAGATTAAAGAAAGTATTCTAATTAATTTTTTTTCTTCTTTTGTGATGTGAATTACAAATAAAAAAAAATTGATTCCTTTTTTTTTTTTTCTTTCTTGTATTTTCATTTTCCATATAAATTTGTTATTTCCGCAATTGTTATTTGCTTTTTTCTTTATTTTTTGTTTTATATCACATCATAGTGCAATAATTTACACATAAAAGAAAACGGAAAGAATATATATTTTTTTTTCTTTCTTTCTTTTTTCATATCATTATTCATCAATTATATTGGATTATTGATTTTTATCAATCTTTAATTTTTATTTTCATAGAAGATATTAAATTCTATTTCTTTTTTTTTTTTGTAATTTGATAATGAATCTTTTTATTCATTTTTAGATTTATTATCTATTAAAATAAACAATTAGAATATATCAAATTGTTAAACAGAATCTTGATGAGACAAAAAAAAAAGTAAGTTGAAGAAATAAATATTGATAAATATTATTGTTTTTTTGACATATGAAATACACCAAAAAAAAATTTGACCATAGTAATAACTTTTAGTAAATATTATCGAATAACTATTTATGTATCATAACATTAATGCTATGAACATACGAACAAATTTAAGTAATAATTGTGAATTCGATCTGTTTACTTCTATTTTAATAATCTTTTAATAAAATCATTCATCAATCATATTCAATATACTATATAAAGAAAAAAAGCAATCCTTTCTAAAACATTATTAATTCAAAATGAGAAAAAATTGTAGTGATCATAATGAGAAAATATTATATTATTGATTTTTTTTTTTTGTGAATAGTACTCTTTATTAAATGATTGAATTTATTATTACGTTTTTTTTTTCTTCATCTAATCATAGATCATGTTGACTT